CGCGCTGCGGAAGAGCCCACCTTTGAAAGCGAGCGGGGGGGACGGGGACTGGTGGGGCGCGTGCTTCGGCACAGCCACCTGCGAAGGTGTACCGCTGGTTGACCCAGGCAGCGTTTTGCTTTCATGGCAAACCTGTAGTACTGCATTCTCAGCAGGGGAGGATTAATGGTAAAAGACTAGGCTTGGAGCCCCCGTCCCTCTCCCCCAAGCAAGCTCTGTGGTCTCTCAATCATCTTTAAAACGCCTTCTTCCCGGGAGCCTCCTGCACTCGCCTGGCTCCCCTCCCACCCCGACTCTCAGCTCCCGGGCCTCAGCAGCCCCCACCCGCCCTCCTCTAATCTTCCCAGAGAAGGGAACAAGAAGAACCACATTTTAAACAAAATGTGTTTTTCTTTCCTCAGACTCCCAGTTCACATTTCTCCCTCAGGAGTCTAGGGAAGCTTCTGTCTGGTATCGGCCTCCTCTTCGCCTGGGTCCCCGCCCTCTCAGGTGTACCAGGAGCCAGTGTGCTCCCCCTTGCCCCCAGGGCAAGGGCAGCCCTGTCACCTGGGAGGTCTGGTGTGCCAGGCCTGGGCAACATCGCTCCCAGCTTTTCTTGTTTTGCCCCTTCTCCTCACCGAGATATTTGTATGTAAGGTCAGGTGAGTTAAAGAATAACAGAGATAAACTTTCAAATGGGGTCCTGACTCTCGGGTCAAGACAACAGTTATTTACTGAATGCCTCTTTTCATTCAACAGACATTTATTGAGACTCTGATTGGACGTCAGTCTTTCATGCTGGGTGTCTGAGAGAGGTGACTACAAGGGCTTCCATCTGTGCACCCAGCATTGCTAGGTTCAATAAAAAGTATAATACAAGCAGGAGCCACAGCCCCCAACTCTCAAGAGACCTCCCATGTGTGTGCGTGCATATGTATGTGTGTGTGCATGTGTGCATGAGTGTGCATACGTGTGTGTGTGTGTATGCATGTGTGTGTTGGGGATGGTGTTGCTGGAGTGAGAGTGTATGAAAGAGTAATTGGGAAAAGAACAATGGAGCTGGCACCCAGGGACAGGAGGAAAAGCAGGAGGGCTGGGTTTGGAAGAGAGCCGGATTTGTTTTTGAAAAGGAGGGAAGACTAGAATAAAAGAGCAGCCCCTCTCAGAGCCCTCCTCCTCCCTTGGGGGCCTGTGTCCAGCTTTCCCCAAATTCCTTGGATTTTTTCTATGCAAAGGGGAATGACAGTGGGCCAAACTCTCAAGGCACTCATTACTGTGAGAGAGGCCACTGTGCCACTGTGTGGTTGAACTTCAGAACCAGCTTCCCCTGCCCTAGCTGCATGGACAGGCCTGTGGGGCTGACCCAAGATCCTTCCAGGGGAAACTAGCCGCAACATGAATCCTGACAAGGCCCTGTTGAGGGAAAGGCACAACCTGGAGATGAGCAGGATGGCTGTCCAGCACTTAGGGGCAGGCCTCTTGGCCACTTGGGGAAGGGAGAATTTGGAGAGGGAGAAGATGGGATGCTGTGGAATCGGGACCAGAAAGAATGGGGACATAAGATGGTTAAAGTTAGTTAGAGAAGAACTGGGAGAGAAACAGTCACCCAGGCCTCTGAAGAACTGAGGGTGAAGAGATTGGCATTTTCATGCACCCCAGTGCTTTCCCTTCATGTTGAAGTAAGTCCCTTCATAGAGATCAGGCCCATAAGACTCTTCTCTGGCCACAGCCTCATGAACTATAGCAGCAGCAGGGTTGAGGCTGAGCATTGGCCCTGGAAGATGGCAGAGAAGGAGGGTGCTTGTGTGAATCTCCCAAGAGGGGTAAGGATAATACTAAATTGATCATAATGAGCATTTATTGAGTGCTGTTTTCAGGCCTGGGAGCTAAGCACTTCACATTCCTCACTTCACGTCAACAATCCTGAGGTAGATGTGGAAAAGTACAGACACAGGGAGAGGTTCAATCACTTGCCCCAAGGTCACCTTAACTGTTAGGTGTTCTTTATGCCTCCTTATAAAGAAACGCTGCCTCCCACAGGTGTTGAGAGGAGCTGGAGGGACGGTGACTGGGGCTCATCAGGCAAGCCCAGGCAGTGTGCCTGGCTCTTTTCTTTCTACATGGAGCTTTTCTTGCCCTGAATGGCCCCATCTCATTTCTTCTAGTCCACGTCAGTGCCTTGAACATCTCAGCCCAAGCTGAGATGACAGAAACACCCAGAAGGGTCCTCTCCCCGTGACAACTGCATTGTGGGAAAAACATGTGTCTCCTCCAATTCTAGACCGGGGTTTTTCAACCTCAGCACTGCTGACACTTGGGGCCAGATAACTCTTTGTGTGGGGGAAGGAGGAGTGTCGGAGTGTCCTGGCCTTGCAGGATGTTTAGCAGCATCCTTGGCCTCTACCCACCAGCACCTCCCCAGTTGTGACACCCAGAAATGTCTTTCGATCTTGCCAGATCTTTCCAGGAGGATGAGATTGCCCTGCAGCTCCCCAGCCCCACCTTAATCAGAAGCACTGTCCTAGACCAACCCCACAAATCATCTGACACCCACACCTAGCCCTGGCTAACTTTTTCCACCTTCTTACTAAATTGGGCCCAGCTGCTTCAGCAGTCAATATTGTGACTGTGTTGGGGACAGCCCACTGGCAAGAGCCTCACCTCTAGGGGCTCCCAGAGACCCCAAGAACAGAGCTTTCCTCTGAGAGTCAAGTTAGAAGTGTTTCTAATCGACTCTAGCTGTTTTCCTGTTTGTGACCCATTCCCCCTTCAACACCCTGTTCTTTCTCTTATTCATATGTAGGAAGAGGAATACGGATAAGGGATATCCTGAAAGATGAAGAAACACTGTCACTATTTCTCATTAAAAACATTGGCCTCTCTGACTCAGTTGTCTACCTTCTGATCAACTCTCAAGTCCGTCCGGAGCAGGTAGGTGGATGTCACTGGCCGGTGGTCCCTGGAGGGGAGGGGGAAGCACCCAGCCTGAGAAAGGCAAAAAAAATGTTGGCTTTTTTCTTTTTATTCCTTGTGTTCACATTCAGAATCCATCACTTAATGCCCTGTATTTAGAAAAATACCAGGCGCGGGGGAGGGTCACTTGAGATCATGATCATTTTCATCACAGGACTCAAGGCTGCACACGTCCTGGCAACCTTAAAACATCTCAGGTTTTTATACCTGGAAGGAATCTTAGAGATCATGGGGCGCAACCTCCTCTTTACAGATGAAGAAACAGAAGTCTATTCATTTATTAATCAAATATTTAGGGACAGTTGTAGGTACTAGAGTACAGTGTGAACCAGACAGGCAAAACCCCAGGCCAGGAAGTTTCCATTCCATTGGGGCCATAGGCGATGCTCATGTAGACAGAGGCTCCACAGTGTGTCTCCTGGCTGTGATTGGTGCTGCAAGGACAATCCGGCAGGGTCGGGGGTTAGAGAGGGACGGAGGGGCCAGTTTAAGGGGGATGCTCAGTATTTGAGTAGAGTTGTCTGTCAGCCACACAATAACTGAGAGGAGTTCCAGGCTGCGAAGCCATCAGTGCACCATCAACAACAGAAGGTGGCAAGTGCTTAGGTGGCATCTCGAGGCTACAGAACCTGAGACCCTGCAGAAGAGCCCACCTCTGCTTTCCTTGACCGCTTCCTTCTTAGCACCAGGCAAACTCCTTCTTCTATCCCTTGGCACATTTCTGATCTGTGTATATGCCTCCAATTTATCTCACGTCTTTTTAGTTAAAATCGCCTGTATTTATGCAGAGCATTCTTACCACTAACTCATGACTTGAACATCTCTTAGCTCCCTTATTCCTCACAACGATCCTGAGATGGGTCCAACAGAGAAGGAGACTTCGGCATCTGGTAATGGGGTGATTTGTGCGCAGTTACAGGGCTGGAAATTATCAGAGCCAGATAGAATCCAGATACTCTCAATCCTAATCCAGCGTTTCTTACTCCAGGCCAGTGGCTTTCAAAGCCCAGGGGCCAGCAGGGTCAGCAACACCTGGGGACTGGTTAGGAATGCAAATCCTTAGGCCCCACTCCAGGTGAACTGAGTCCAAAGTCTTGGGGTAAGGCCCAGCAATCTGTGCTTAACAAGCCCTCCAGGTGATTCTGCAGGTTCAGGTATGAGAGCTGCAGCTGTCCTCTGGGCCTTCTGGGCTTCCCGCCCAGCTTCTTTAGTGTGATAAACACAGCGAGAATGCAAGATGTGTAGCAGCTGATATCCCAGACACCCTCCCGACTCCCTCCTGGCTGGGTCTGCTCCTCCTCCAGACTCTAAGAGAGAACGAGACATAAACAGAACTTCAGAGCCTGTTTCAACCCTGAGATCAAGGTCTGCACAGGGTGCTGTCTGAGTCCAGAGGAGTGAGGGACTCCACCCCACCTGGTCAGCACTGGCTCCTGGAAGCAGGTTCTCACACTGGTTCCCTGCACAGCAAAGGAGCCCATACCTGCTTTTCTGGCTTCTCTGACCCTGAGATTTTCACCGAAACTAGACAAGGGGAACCGAGGGTCAGCCTAGAAGCAGTGTGAGCTTGGCACCTGCAGTGCCCAGGCCCCGGGGCTGTGCAGTTCCGGCCAGGCCCTGTTTAGCTTCCCCTCCCACACCCACTGTGGGGGTGCTATTGGCACTGACGGATCATTTTCCCCTTTGCTTTCTCTTCAGCTCATAATACTCAAGTCCTGACAATGCCTGTGATGACTTCCAGTTAGTAATAAAAGGGATGGTGATAAGGGCAGGAATTTTGGGGAAATTTCTTTCCAGTTCCTTACAAACGTGACATTTGGATCTCTAACACTGTGCTTCTGGCGTCAGGGCTGAGGCCTTTCATGTCGGAGGATGCAGGCCGGGGTCACCAGATTGTGCCTTTATTTCATGCTGCTGGCTCCAATGAGCTGAATACTCCCCTGATTAGCAAACTCTGAGCCATCTGCATTTCGCAGATGCACGTTCCAGATGACCCAGCCCTCCCTGCCCACTTCCCGGGATGCTTTGCTTCGTGGGCTCACCTGTCTTCTAGCTCCTGGAGGTATGCCCACCTCCACCTCGCTCTGGGGCTTCTTATGAGCACTGTCCCCAGAATTGTCCATCATGATGGCAACATTCTTTCTGGGCACTGTTCAACATGGGAGCTCGCCTCTTTGTCGTTGCTCATGGTCGTTGAACATCGGGACTGGATACCCCTCCTGGTCCTTCCTGCCTGGGGTCTGAGCACAGTTCAGAAGGGACCTCATCATCCCCTCTCTCTAGGGAATTATTATGAGATGACAGGGGCACAGATCTCTGGCTCACCCCTTACCCCACCCCCGCCCCCAGCCCAGTGAACTCCTGGACATGCTTCAAGGCCCAGCTCAGATGTTGCCTCCTCAGTGAAATTACTTATAAACCTACCCTTCTTTGTCCCACTTTTTCCCTCTTTCCTACTCACTGAAGAGCTAACAAGTGATGGTTAAGCTCTGGGTTCAAATCTCACAAGACTACACACTTAGCTGTGTGACTCAGACAAGTTAATTAACCACTGTGCCTCTCGTTTCCTCATTTGTAAAATGGAAATAGTAAAAGTGCCTAACACCCGTAGCAGTGTGGAAGTTAAAAAAATAATATATGTGAACTCTTGGAACAGTGCCTCACACATAGTAAACACTCAATAAATATTAGCTGCTTTTAGTAGCTATTCTTAACACGCTCTCTTCTATGCTCTGGTTTCACTATGTCTAATCTCGCACCTACTGCTATTTAAATGCCTGTATTTCCAGCTAGCTAGTGAGCCCTTGGGGGGCAGGAAATTGGCCTTACTCTTCTCTGTGTCCCCAGTCACTATCCTATTCCCTGCAGAATGGGAAGTCGGTGATGGGCATTGAATAAATGAGGGAGGGAAGGACCCAGGGACCTCCATGGTGTCCCAGCCTTCCCTGAACTGCTTCGTAGCTTTCCAAGTCACCTCACCCCTCCTCCATCAATTTCTCCTCTGGATCACGCGGGGCTTGGACAAAATGAGCTTGTTGATTCCTTCCAACCCAAAATGTCTTAGACTCTGGGGTTAGAGGTGAGGGTGAAGCTTTTCCCTGGAGAAAAGATGTGAGATGTGGGTAAAATGGGAAGGCTCTGTTGGAATGCACACCAGTTATGGGCCCCTGATATTGAAAGTGTTCTCAGCGACTCATGGTCAGCTGTGACCTGTGCCTCATGTGGGAACCAGGTTGTCATGTGTAGTCCGAGCAGTTTCCATGCAGAAAGTGGCAGAGCTCAGGCCTGTTCTGCCCTGCCCCAGAAACCCGTGTCATTAGAAGTCATAGGAGACTGTGGTGCCTCGGAAATCTCATGAGTTTTCCTATGGTACTCAGGGTCTGTCCATGCTATGGGAGTCCAGGAATCCAGAAGCCAGTTAAGGTGCTGGGTGGCCAAGGGTTCCTGGTCAACGTGCAGGCCTCTCCCTTGCCACCTTATCCTCAAGAGGCCATTATGAGGATTATGCTTCAAGAACCACTATCCTTGAGTTCCCTAGGAGCTGTAGAATGTATGCTATGCAGGGCTTAGGGTCTCCAGATAAAATAGATGCAGGGTGTCTAAATAAATTTGAATTTCAGATAAATAATTTTTTCAAATAATTATGTTCTATGTGGACCCTACTTGGGACATATTTGTACTAAAAATTCATTTATCTGAAATTCAAATTTAACTGGGCATCTGGTACTTTTCTTTGCAAGAGTAAATTTGTTCTAGCTACTCCTCACCATCACCTTCAGAGAGGAAGCTTGGTGATCTGGTAACATCATGCTGTAAGAAGGGGGTCCTTTGAATTGTAAATGGCACGCTGATAAGGTAGGCATGGGGATCCTACTGGTTTCCTATTGCTGCTATAACAAATTACCACAACTTAGTGACTTTGAACAACACAGAAAGATGCATTATCTTATGGTTCTGGAGGTCACAAGTCTAAAAGTTAGGGTATCAGCAGGACTGCATTCTTTACTGGGGAGTTCTAGAGGAAAATCCATTTTCCTGCCTCCTTGAGCCTCTGGAGTCACTCCACATTCCTTGGCTAGTGGTCTCCTTCCATCTCCAAGGCCAGTAGGGGTGTATCAAGTCATTCTCAAATCACATGACTGTTTCTTCTGCCTCCCTCTTCCACATTTAAGGGACCCTCATGATTACACAGGGTCCCACCTAGAAAAGCCACAATAATCTCCTTATTTTAAAATCAGCTAAATAGTGGCTTTAATCCCATCTGCGATCTTAATTCCTGTCGCCATGTAACATAAGGTATTCCCGGGTTCTGTGGGTTAGGACATGGTGTCTTTCCTACCACAGGGCAGTTTCTAGTGTTGCCTCTGCTCCCTACAGTTTGCTCACGGAGTCCCGGACCTGGCGCTGAAGGACATCGCCTGCAGTGAGGCCCTCCTGGAACACTTCATCATCTTCAGCCAGCGACGGGGGGCACAGACTGTGCGCTATGCCTTGTGCTCCCTCTCCCAGGGCACCCTACAGTGGATAGAAGACACGCTATATGCCAATGTGGACTTCTTCAAGCTCTTCCACGTGGTAAGGGAGGGGCTTGGCTGCTTGCCCACTGGAAGGTGATTCCTGGGGCAGCAGAGCCTCACAAATTGACCTTGGGGAGAACGTGAGCCTGGTGTTCCAGACAATCCTTGCAGAAGCTCCAGACTCCCAGGGCTCAATCACAATTGATAGTGCTTCTAAAACAGTGGCCCAGGGGCCCAGAAGTCACTGTGAGGTTCCCCATTAGGTATGTGGCTATGGCATGTTTGTGCCCATTACAAATGTGGGGAAGTCCCCTTCACCTCCTCTAGCAGAGTGCCAAAGGAAGGAGGCCTGGTTTGACTCCCTGCCCTGCCATTTCCTAGCCAGGTGATTGTGCTAAGATATTTAACCTTTTCTGGTCCAAGTACTCATCTATAAAACAAATATAATACTTTATAGAGTGATAGGAATGATACAAAAAAAGTTTATGCAAAGCATTTCATAAATTTTCATAAACGAAGGCCCCATGCTCCTTCCTCTAGAACTGGTCTCAACCTCAAAGGTTGATGTTTCTAGAGAGAAAAAATGACAGAGTAGTCTCAAAATTTGGAAAGCCCTGATCTAGCTCAACCCTCTGTTCCAGAACTGCATCCCAGAAAGACTGCTTGGGACCTAATAATATCTCCTCTTTTGCCGGAAGGATAAGATGAGAAGGAATTAGATAAAGGAGTTGTAGAGCAGAGGTTCTCACACTGCAAAGTGCATAAAAACCATTAGATAAGTTGGTAAAAAATGCAAGTTCTAAATCCCCACTCCCAATCACTCTGATTCAGAAGAACCAGGTCAGCCCAGAAGCTATCCTGTTACATCAGGTGATTCTAATAAAGAACATTGTAGGCCATACTTTCAGAAACACTCAAAATTAGAATCCTTCAGAGAAGGTGGCATAAATAATATTTCTAGCATGGAATTAGGTTTTTTTCTGTTGCATACATTTTAATTTCTAGAACTGTGTTGTAGGGAATGTCATCACTAAGAACTTGACTGAGGAATCACGTTTTGTCTGTTTTATGACTGCTCTCTCTCAAGTCCCAGCAAACCCACCCTCAGCTTGTCTTAAAAAGAAAGCCAAAGGTTTTTTAAAATGAAGCAAAATAAAACAAGACCCTGCAGTTTCTGGCAGAGTCCACACTTAATCCCTTTCAATGTGTGACTTTCCTTGAAAAGTTACTCTGCAATTTTCCCAGCTCATCGGGGTGGAGCCCCAGAGCGAGTATGAAGGGTCAGGGCCTAGGGATGCCACCATCAGTGAGAGCCCAGGACTCCGAAAAGGTCTCTTGGCTCCCCACACTGTAGGAAGAATAAGAAGCCATGTAGTCCAAGTGTCTCTATCCAGTTTCAAAAAGAACCTGATTTTAGACACACTCCTGACTTGTTTTCAGAATCAGACAGAAGAGGGAGACAACAAAGGTCCCTTATTCCAGGCGGCTGAATACAAGCACAGCGAGGAGTCCAACGCTCATGTTTGCAGAGCTGCAGAGGCTCCCTGTCAGGTGTCCAGGGCCTGCGTGCTCTGCAGAATGGGCAGAAGGAACGAAGTGCACCTGGGCTTTGCAGGCAGGGCCCAGCTGCCCAGGTTCGTGCCATCCTCTTGTCACTGTGAAGGGAGCAGGGTCATCCTTCTATTCTTGAAGCACATTGGCCAGCAGTATAGGTAAATTTACCTCCCAGGGCATGACCATTGATTCTGAGATGTCAGTCCCAGAGATAGCAGGGTAAATGGGCACCTGGGTAAAACTTTCCATCAGAGACTAGAACCAAAACTCAGGACACTGGCTTCCAAATGTTTATCAGAAAGTCTTTACTTATGCCTTCACACACTGCCTTGGCAAATGCTAACATTCAGAAACCCTGGGTTACCGTGACCATCGCCCTTGCAGACCTCAGCTGGATTCTGAAGCTTCCTTTCTCGAGGCACTCAAACCTGTGTCGGGCACCTGTGAAGGGCCGAGCATTGTGCTGAGGCCAAGGCTCCAGCTGTGAACCTTCCACCCTCACCAAACTCACAGCCAGACCAGAGACAAGCAAACAGGACATTTCCCAGCAGTGCCACTTAGAAAGGCCAACACCAGCAGCATTTGTCCCCTGGAACAGTGGTGTTTAAAAGCTTCCCCAGTGATTCAGTGTGTCCTACAAATGCCTGGCCCCTCCCCCAGAGACTCTGAGTCACCTGGCCTAGGGTACAGCCTTGAATTCACTGTTTTAAAAAGCTTCCCAGATAAGTCCAATGTCCAGCCAAGGTTGAGAATCACTGACCTAGAACATAAGAGTTTGATTTACAACCTCAATTTCTATAGACCATGCATAATAATAATAATAGTACCCCACATGCCTCTGAGGCTCCAAAGAACTTTCATTTGATTACCCATGACACAACGGTGGTGTGGAGATGCTCTCTCTCCTGTTCTCTTAACAAAGCTGGTAAGCCACAGAGCCTGCAGTGGACCTGAGACTGCTAGGAGGAGAAAGCCCTGGTGGGAGCCGGCTCAGCCTCAGAACACCACCCCTACCTGCTCTCCCCTCACTCTTGCTTCTGTCTCTGTGGGGGAAGACCCAACCGAAACAGGACACATCTAGTCTTCTGGTGTCTTTAAAATGTACTTTTCCGTTTGACAAGTGGATTACACTAAAAAAATTAAAATTTACTAAAAAAAAAAAAAAAAACCTGAAAGAAATTGCAGGCATTAAAATGGGACTTTGCCTTTGTTGCTCCTGGGCCCATCCTATTTGTGTTTTTAGAAAAACAAGCCTGAGGCAGGCCCAGAAAGGCTCAGGGCAGACCCTCCGACCCTCTGAGAGGAGCATCAGGCAGGCAGGAGCTGCTCCGGGAGGGGGAAGGGGCCCCATGGGGACGAGGCTGTTATTGCAGCTGGTTGGCGTGCAGCCACACTTAGATGCAGTGCGGGAATGCTGGGCCTTCTGTTCTGGGCTCTTATACGCACGTAAGCCAGTGTATAAATAATGTTTTTTAAGCCAGTGTATAAATAATGTTTTATTTAATGCCAAATGAGTTTTCATTAGCAAGAAAAGAGAGAAAATCTCAGTAAACCACTGTGATGGCACCTGCCCCTTCTGAGTAAAGGGCTGGGGTGTGGGTGCAATCTCTGAGACATGGGAACCTGTGGAGCCTAGAGAATCGGAAGGGGGAGCACTGGGGTTAGCACCGACTGAGACCAGCTGTGTTTTTTCTCGGTTTCTTGGAGATCAGAAGTGAGTGTTGTCATCTTCAAACAATCCAAAGGCAGTACCCATGGCCTTACTCCATCCCTCCCACACCATCCCACCCATCCCTGAATATACTCACACGCTCATTTGCACACTATTGCCATGCTCACTTGCAAGTACGCACACACAGATTGGTGACCTAGGTGGGCTGGGAGAGAAACAAGAGCCAGGTGACTGGATTTTCTCCAAGGAAACTTATTAATAGCCTCTCTTGGTTTCACCTGAAGGAGCTTGTCTTCATCTGCGGCCTTTACAGGCTTAAACGCCCCAGGCTTGAAACCCAGAAGCTCAGACCTGGGCTCAAGGTATCATTAGTGCCAACACTACCTAAAATGTTTTGCACCTCATAAAAAATGGTGTGTCAGTTTCGGGTGAGAGGTTGGGAGGCTTCCTATCTGATTTGACCCAAGGCATGCATGCCCCTCCTCCTCCTCCTCCCACTCTTTCCCTTCCTCCCCTTCTTCCCCCTCTTCCCCCTACCATCCTTCCTGTTTTCTCTCCAACTCTGGCGCACAACTTTGAAATCTTGCTGAGAAGCAAATCTGTCCCTTTTGCTTTGAATGTTTATTTGTGGAAGTTCAGCAGGGGAACCGAGGTGGGTGCCAAGACCTGCCATGCTGCTGGGAAGTCTGAGTTTCCCTCCCTTCCCCCGCTAAATGCGTGTTAATAGAGAAAATTCGGCCTCCTCGGCATTTGGGCTCATAGTTTTCCCCTTTGAAAATGCTTCCAGTGTGGCGTGATTCAGCTTTCTTTTCTAGTCCCCAGCCACAGCTCTGTTGCCATTTTTACTTTTCTGATTGCATTTTATCCATGTTTCTTTGACTACGGGGTGGCTGGGCATTGAGTTCATTGAGTTCCAGGGAGAAAAGGGCCCAGACTTGGGGTTCCAACTACATGCGCCTATCAACATCCTGCTTGGTTCCTGGCTCTGCTCCCTGAATTCCTGAGTCACTGGGGAGAGGCGTGGGTGGACTGCCCCCTACCCAGTGAGAGCCGCCACAGTTCCTGCTCTCCTGGATCATTCGCTGCAGTTTGTTAAATTTCAACTATGCATTCCAATTTTCAGATGGATATTGCTGCACCAAGTGTCTGGGAAAGCCCCCACATCTATAGGATTTTACAGTGAGGTCCCACTAATTAATGACTTGACTTCATGACTTCCTCTTTCTTCCCGATTTCTCCCACTTCTCCCACTTCTCCGTGGAGGTTATGGGAGGGGAGAAGAAAAAGGAGTGATGCCCGAGTGCCAATTCCGGGGAACAGCAGGGCTGTTGGGAGGAAACAAAACAGAAAGGTTTTTTTGGTTTGTTTTTTGGGGGGTTTATGAAAATACTCAAGCCACAGCAAGTATATTTGACTTACAGCATTAGTATTTTTTTCTGCCTGCATCTACAAAAATATGTACCTATTACAATCAAAATATCCTCTGGGTGAATGGATTTCAACAAAGAAGAAATAAAAATGAAATAGAAAAGAGGCCCCTTCGGGCACATTGAGCCTACTGGCTCAATTGTCCCTTGCCTGCCTTGATGTCTTTTCAGCTCCAGACAGGCAGTAGGCCAGGGCTTATTTTCATGACAGATCAGATGTTGCTTTTATGGATTTACAAAGAAAGAAATACTGAAAGGTCAAAACTGAAGTCACTTAGGACAAGAGCAGGCCCCTGGGAAGGCTGCCATTTAGGATAATGAGTCCTGAGGTCCTGGCCTTTGTTCAGTAAATATGCATTGGACACCTACAATGTGTGCACCAACGTGTGAGGCGTCAGGTTCTCTCCAGGGTCAGTTGGTTTTAGGAAGGATTTTGGCTTTTGATATGTTTTATTTCTACAGAATGGTAGCTATTAACCTTTCTTATGAATTAGGATTACCTTCCAGAATCTGACTACAGCTCTAGGCCTATTCCCTAGAGAAGCCTAAATTCACACAGACATACAGGGTGGTGCTCATGGAGCAGCTGAAGCCAGACCCCAGGTTAATAGCCTTCACATTAAAATTTTTATCTACCTACCACTAATATGCATCCTTTACTAAGAGGTCTTAATAGACACAGATTCTTTCTTAACTCTGTTTATGAAGTAATCAGCATCCTTCCTGCCCCTGATTCAGGATCCAACGGCATGAGGACCATAGGCCTGGGCAGTCACTGGGGCACACAGGCATCTCCTAGTGGCTAAGAGACTGGGCCCCAGCTCTGCGTTGGCTCCTAACTTGCTGCCATTGAAAGGAAATCTCAGCCTCCCCATCTGTAAAATTGAGAAAATAAGACTTGTTCTACATATCTCATGGAATAGTAGTAAAATGTACATTAGAGAAGAGATGGAAAAACACTTTGAACAAAAAGCATTCTGCTCTTACCAAAGCAAGAACACAGCCTCTTTTGAGAGGCCTTTTGCTCCTCATTTCTCCTTCAGACCCCCCAGACTAGGAGGAGGTCTGTCTCACAGAGTGACCTTTTGGCTGCCCCTAGATTCCAAGCTCAGTTTTGCTTTCATTAACCACAGATACTGGGACAGACAGAAAAAGACCTAGTTTCTGTTGAGCCAAAGAGAGTCCCATAACTTGTCTGTTCACATACCCAAGAGCCCACCCTCTAGTTCAGACACTCAGTTCCCTCCCGTTCTGGGAGACAGCATGTCTCTGTGACCTCCTAGTAGAGACAGTTTGGCAAGTCCCCCACCCCCTCAGTGACTGAGTCTGAATTCTCCCCTCATGACGCATTTCCTAGCACTCAGGGTGTCCCCTCCTTGTTGCCCCCTCACCACTGAAGCCGGCTTCCTCCCTTTTCATTTGATGCTTAACAACTGTCAGGTTTCAAGAAACATGCTTCAAATCCACATTCTCCCAGTTGCCTAGCAACAACTTCCCTCCCGGATAAATGTGGGTTTCCTGTAGCTCAGCCCAGGACTGAACACAGCAGCACACACTTCTATCCACTGCTTCAACTACTTTTCACCTCTGCTCTGTGTGCCTTCAAGACAGTAGCTCATTCCTGCCCTCAGAACCTTCAATGGCTCCCAGAGGCCATGTCTGTCCCCCAAAGACAGGTTTAACCTGAGCCTACTTATTTACCCTTGTGTTAGGTATGTCTGCAACTTAGAAATTAATACTGTTTCCTGATGGTCTTCTTTGAATCACAGAAAGTAAAACAATAAAACATTCAACACCTAAGATGTTTCATGTGCTGGTAGAGTGACATCTGTTTGATTAACACATTTGATCCAAAGTACCAGAAATACAAGACTTTTTAGGAGATATGTTCTGTTCTACCTAAAGAAAAAAATATTACATAGTCCCAAAGGAGAAACATGGTTTTGATCCCTGACAACCCAAACAGAGGCCTTTTAGGGCCAGAATCTTCTTGGCTGCTGCCTAGGACCTTCTATCAATTTCTTAAGCACAGAATTAAGTCTTAAGGGCCCCTTAGACCAATCTCAGTTAATAGAGACAGATTCCTTCACAGCCTTATCTGTGTATCCAATCTTCCTGAACAGGTCTAGTCTGACCTTGAACTTGGGTTGTCAGTGCTTAGTCAGTTGTGACGTATGTGATATGGAAGAGTTATGTGTTACTTGGGAAATTAAGAGAACTTGTTTGGCATAGGAAGTATGTGTGTGTGTGTGTGTGTGTGTGTGTGTGTGTGTGTGTGTGTGTGTGTGATGATGTTTGCCATTTTGATATGTGACCTTTTTTCCAGAAATATTTTCACAGTTCCATTACAACTAAATTTGCAGACTCTTCCAGTTCCTTGGTAGAAACAATTCATGTGAATTTGAATAGATAATGGGGAAGGGGGAACCAAAAGAAGAGGAGAGCCTTCGGAAAGTTATTTATAATTTATGGCATCCTCAGTCAGGCAATTTTGAACAGGCACATATGGAGGGCTCCCTTGGGATTAGACAGTGTTCAGAGATGTAAGGTGTGAGGACCAGACCCTCGTCATTTACCACTCCCACTAAAAAGAGCTGAGAAGGAAATTGCAGCTGTAGCACCAGGCACATAGCTGGAGCTTAGTAACTGTTTGGTGAATGAATATTACTAAATTGTTAACAAGACGGAAAAAGTATTAACCACACAGAAATGCATCTCAAGCTATTGTTTCTCTGTTCCCTTTCCCCTAAATTCCTGGTCTTGCTCTTGTCTGGCTATCTCTCTAGTCACTCCCTCTTGCTGATTCTCCTCACGTTTCTTTCTCCACCTGGAATTCCTGGGCCCTCCCCTTCTACTCATAGATACAGTCATCACTCTCACAGTCATCAACTTGTCTCTTTACAAACCTCAGCTCAAGTGTCACTTCCCCATCCACAGATGAAACTGACTGCTCCCTCCCTGTAAGTCACCCTGATGCCTGGTAAATACATCCCTCACGGAAACTAAAACCTTAATAGACACTGTCTCTTTCCTACTCTTTTATAGTTTATTTACTCATTAATTACCGCAATACATATTATTGAGTACCTACTGTGTACTATGCCCTGAAGATAAAAGACAAACAAAACCTCTTTCTATGCTTAATGAGCTTACAGTCTAGTGGAGAGATAGATACATTAAAAAATAACAGCAAACTAAAATAAAAGTATAAATAAATGCACTGAGAATGACAGGAATAGCTAGGAGGGGCATCTAACCCATGGGGAAGGAAAGCTGGAAGAGCATGGTGATAGAGGAAGAAGGCTTTCTAGAGAAGGTGAGGTGGTTTCAAATGAGTTGACTCTGGTCAGTAGGGGTAAAGTGAGAATAGGGTAAGATGGGGTAGGTTGGTCATTTTGATCTGTTAGTCCCAAAGTGATAGGATTAGTGGCTAAGGACTGCAGGCTTTGTAGAAGCCTACAAAAATATTTGAGATTTGAAGTTTAGAAAAAAATGACTCCAAAGAAAAAGAAAAAACTTAGAATTATAATGAATGAATATTGAATGTTTAAGGAAGGTAATGTTATTCAACTTCATTGTTAAATTTAGTTATAACAGGCCCTCCAGTTTCATTGAACACTGTTTCATTATAACATTGATGAGAGAAAACAAAGCTGATTCCTGGCTGGGGCCACTGTCAGTGCTGGGTTTGCACATCCTCTGCATGTCTGCTTAGGTTAGCTCCAGGTACTCCTGTTCCCCCGCATCCCAAAGATGTGCCCATTGGGGAAATGTCCCAGCGTGAGTGAGTGTGGCTGTGGCAGTGAGTGTCCCTGCCATGGGATGGTGTCCTGTCCAGGTTAGATTCCCACCTTGTGCCCTGAGCTGCTGGGATGGGATCCAGCCACCCATGACTCTGAACTGAAGTAATTGGGTAAATAATTATCTTACTTTTTAATCAATCTTTTAAAATGTTTGTATAGTTTACATTTATTTCTGTGTTTAATATTAGACATATTTTAGTCTTTATTTTGAGGTTTGGTGATTTATTTTAACCAGAAACAAGCCATAGAAACTTAATTTTGGGCAAAGTGTGGTGGCTCACCCCCGTAATCTCAACATTTTGGGAGGCCGAGGCAGATGGATCACTTGAGCTCCAGAGTTTGAGACCAGCCTGGTCAACATGGTGAAACGCTGTCTCTACCAAAAATACAAAAATTAGCTGGGTGTGGTGGTGTACGCCTATAGTCCTAGCTACTTGGGAGGCTGAGGCAG